ATGAAATCTGTGCTGAAGCGAAGACGTATGATATTAACAGGTGTGATTTCTCAATGAAATACTTCAATGGATTCAAGATTGAACCAACGAAGGTAATCATTTGACACTTGCTTCACATTTCTGATAAATATTAGACATGGTACCAGATGTTTAACGGAAGTGATATATCCTTCTAGATTATGCAATTTGATAGTTAAATTTAAATTTTAAGCATGATTCATTTCATTTCAAATAAACTTTTAAAGTATTTAATCAGAACATTCACATGATGAAAGAAAAAAAACCCGCTGTGATGGAGGCATGATCATGGTCTTTATAGCGACATTTCCGTCAGACTGCAGTACCGACTATGATGTAATGTTAAAGCTGATGAAACTGGTTCCCGAAATCTTTTTAACAGTATACCGGGAAAACCACGCTTCCGATTAAAAAAGCAATAAATGATTACTAATATGTTCTATTTATATTTATTTATTAATTAATATTTTTGTGAAAACAGTTTTGAATAATATCCGTACAATATAATTGATAATATTATGATCGACTTTGTCATTGAACTTATTTATACATTAAGAGATATAAAGAATATTTCAAAAACAATAAATAAATAAATGCCAATAGATATTATGTAATTAAAAGTAGTATTATGTTACCTGTTTAACATCGCTTTCTATAGCTTAGATTTATAATTTTATAATCATTTCATTTTATATTTCTTTTTTTACTTTATGATTGAGTACAGAAGTTTTTCTGTCGGGCTAAACATTTTTGATCTCTTATATTAGTTCTGGTTAACTAAATACATTTATTCTGCCATTATTAAGGAATACAGGTGCAATGGCGGATTACCTCCAAAATTCTGTGCTGGCGAAAACAACTATTTCGAAATCCAATTCGAAGCAGGCTCGTCCCCTACCTCTTCATTGATGCTGGAAATTACTGCAAAGTTGACGTGTAGGTACAATAAATAGGCTAAACCTTCCGTATGTGCTCATTCATGAGAAGTAATAAAACTGCACTTTATGAATCTTTAATATGACATCACCATGCATATAAAGTCACTACTATAACAATTCGGTCCTCCATCAGTCCAAGCTCTGTCAAGGTTTTATAACCCATGGTCATAATGCACTATAGGAAAAGGATGTTATTACACTGATGACAGTGTAGTTATGTGATAAATGTATAACATTTCCTCCTATTGCAAAAAGAAAATAATTGAGAGGCTAAAGCTATAAAAAATAATAATAAATGTCTGGGCTCCGAAATATGTTGAGACCCGTTCAACAAAACAAATTCTCACGACATCAACATAAATAGATATGCCTTTATTTGTTCTTACAGTAATTGTGTTGCATTTATTGAAATGTCTGTCTTGATAATTTCCGGTGTTTGTTTTACAGATGAAGAAAACAATACATTATTGTATGTCGGTTTAGGAATGGGTGCTGTTTCCTGCTTAGCAATTGTGTGTGTGATCCTGCTTCTGGTGTTTCGTAGGAAGAAACAACAAAGTAGCGAAGATGTGATCATGCGGCCACCCACAACTTTACCGCAAAGACCAACCGTAATGGCATCTGCTCCACCTCCGCAACCATACGGTCAACCTGTTCACGGTAAGGAACTTTGACACGTATAAACGAGTTCAAGAAATTTCAAAGGCGAGCTAAGATAAAAAATCAAAAGATAAATCACCTTTTAAGTGGAAACGAGTTGAAAACCCTTTTTATCACATAATTAATTATTCGGGAAACAGGGGATATTGAATGGTTTTCCTTATTATAACATAGATATTTCAGAAGTATGACATAATACTTTTTACTAGAGCGAAGCAGGATTAGGGCTGAAGTGATGGTAAGAAATATATTTCACCGTCAAAAATTAAATACAATATTGTAGAAATTTTTCAAAGCAATTTCAGTTTTGTATCTATGGTCACCATTGTTACGTCACAATGCAATCTGTGTGTAATGTCATTTCCTAATCTAAAGCTGATGTCAAAGTTAGTTACATAACACAAATGTAATGAAATTTATATAGATATATTGAATGAGTAACAATGCATTAAATATATCAAAGAAGATAAGGCAAAGACGCTAATGTACAAGATATTTAAACGATATAGTTATTTTCACTTTTGAAAAGTGAAGCAAAATGTTTATTGCTTCATATTTTTAGAAGTTTTGATGGAACAAAGTAACATATTAGAACTTAATTATTTTGGTTTTCAGGTATATATTCAACACCTATGGCTCTGCCGACGTATTCGGAGTCGCCCTATGCAGATCCCAAGTTTCCAGCATCGCAATAGAATCTATGAAAAACCAATCAGAAAACTTAAATGTTATGTAGAGAAATGAACATATTGATACCCTTTGAAATTTTTGCTTTTACATATATTATTTCTACTTTAGAAACAAGATTCTTCATTGAATCGGAGATAAATTTCCTAAAGGTTTTTTTATCATCAATGATCAGATAAAGCTTATATTTAAAGTTTAAAACAGCCTTGCAAGATATATGTCTTTGTATAGTATGACTAAGAAAAATTCGCTTTTAAAATCAGTTTTATTAAGTAAAACAAAAAAAAAAAAAAAAACAAAAAACAAAACAAAACAAAAACACTAAAAAACACCCAAGCTTAGCACAAAATTTAAGTGACAAATTAGCCATATTGAGGCGGCTACTGCATCGTTATAAAACGTAAAAAAATGATATGGCTATGGTAACATAGCTGAGATAGGCACACACGAGAGGTTTTACTGTATTTATCAAAACCTCCTGATAACCACATCGCCAGTGTTTGTGGAACTTGACGGAATTACTCAATCATGCACTGTTGTTTGGTATATCAGAGCAGCTTTATTCTTCTTCTAATAAATACGCTTTCCGTCCTTGCTATCTTTTATGGAATCCTCTGGAAAATGTTCCTTTTTAAGGTTTTGATCATTTCTATTAGACTGCTAGCGTCCGCCACCAAAATTCCAACTCCTACCAACACTAGAATCGTGCAGCCAACACAGCCCACAGCCTCAGCGGATGGTCGGCTGTCCTTAGCTGAAGTCTTGGTGCGGATATAACTACTTGTGGTATTTTTCAGGATTAGAAGTTCTGACCGCAGCTTTGTTATGATGGCCTGAAGCTCTTCAGTTGTATAATTAGAGGCACTGTAATTACCACAGCCACACTGGGATGACATCGTTACTTCAGGAGATTGTGTTGACGCCGTCAATGTAGCTGTACATTGGGTTGTTAACGTCAATGCGACTGTGGGAAGGGTTACATCCGTTAGAGGTGTTGTTAATATTTCGTCCGGCCATAACTGTTCTTGTTCGCTGGCCGTGACTGTCGCTGTCGGTGTGATGTTAATCGGCACTGTAGAAGAAATGTCTACACTTTATACTTGATATGTATGGCTAGCACTTAATTATTGAACACCAAGAAATACCATAAATCTATGCATATGAAATATATATGTATATGAAAATGTAATTCATGTATTTTATATAGAACGAACTAATATTCTATGGCACAAACATGGTTTGTGTAGAATCAGGGTGCACATTTCGTGTTAGAAATGCTCCAAATGAAAAATAAATCTTCCAAATGGTTGCTAACCACAAGTTACTCTGTGTAATTAGAATCTGATATATCCTGTACTAAGAAATGATCAGTTCCGTTTGCGGGTAGTTTGTCCTGAGGTGGACCTTCCACAGACGATGTACATTTTATTTTCATAATGTTTCCTGCTATCTACTTTATCTTTCTTACTCTGAAATTAAAACTGTGGTGTTCTGCTGACTCCGGTGTTTTCTTCAAATTATCTTCATGGCAATACATTGACTTACATCCAGATCTACAAGTTAATATAGACAATCGTCTACTCTCTTCCAAGTTATTTTTTTTCAGTCCAAAAGGATGATTGTTTAAGTAAGAAACAAATGTCCGCAACATATTTAAGAGAAGAATAATTCCCTAAATACAGACGAAGGATATCTTTTTGCGACATTAAAGATATGTAGTGTAAAACGGTACTTAAAACGTCCTGTGAACCTTTCATATTTCACAACAGGAAAAGAATGACATATTCAGGTATGTTTGAGTGTCCTCTAGAATACTACAAAGTTAAACAAAAAATGAGAAGGTGGCTGTTCTGGTTGTTTTTTTAACCAGATGCAATATAGCTCCATTATGACGTAAAATCCATCACACTGCTGTTCCGTCGTTCTAGGATTCCTCAATGATGCAAAGGGACTGTATTGTTGAATCCTGAGGAAAATACAATTAGTCAAATAAACGTCAAAACACAGACGGGGAGATGTAATAATTCTATTGGTCAATGATTTTTTGTATTCAAATAACTTAAAAGGGCATCTTATTTAGGGATTTATTACTTATCATTATTCAAATTAATAAACGTACATGCAGGTCACGGCAGATTTGTCCATCAACAGGTTCTAACACTTCAACACTAACAATTTCAAAGGATTGTGAAAGAGATAAACAGGTAAATAATACCTTTCAATAAATATTTAGAGTTATATATCAAAATTACGAATCTAACTATAATATATAACAACAATAACTTTCACTAGCACAAAATAACATAGTCTTGAAAGTGCTTTTTTGGCCATATTGACGTCAAATTCGTCCTTGTTATAATCTTGATATACCATGTGAACATTAACCTCGTATCGAATCCGGGAAAAATAAAGGAAATAAATGCTTTGTCATATACAGTATATAATGATAAATCTGCATCGAACAGTACTATTCGCTTAGGGTCTTTCAAACAATCCTAACAGTCCATAGCATTTGCTATAATTTACAGAAAGAACAAAATAATGACAGACTTTCTTTTCTGTTGATATATAACCTTCACCATAAGGTTGGATATAAAATGTATCTTCGAGGTATCAGATCAACAATAGAAATGAAACAATAGGGGACAACGGTGTAACGATAGATATATTTGTTTCAGAAACACCTAGCTTTTCAACATGGTACCTAGACTAATGTCATTCATTCTGTTACTTTATGTAGCAGCCCATGAAATCTCAGGATCCTATAGTAAGTAGACAATAATATAACAAGCATTTAAACTACTACTCAAAGATTTTAGATGTTATGTTGTAACAGTATATCTCTTCCTATCATATTGTGGATATAATATATTGAATGTATATCTGAATATCTAAGCATCGTAATAAGCATTTTCTGCATTATGTTTCAGTGTGTTGTGACTTATATATAAATGTTTAACTGTTGTTTATTTTGAAGTTCGGTTATTAAGTTAATCTACCATAAGATAGCAATCACAATTGTGTAGAATTATCAATTACTGACATATACAATACAGTATTGCATGGTCAGTAAGCTTACTTTTCTGGAACACATGGTCTTGTTATCCACCTACTTTTTTTATGGATTTTCGACTAATTTTTAAAAAAATTTTTATATGAATATGAGTAAGAATTAAACTCGTGTTAACATGCCTTTATTTGACATATTTGAAGCAATTTCTATGAAGTGTTATATGTCTTCATTTATTTTCAGTTGATAACTTACTCTTGGACAACAGAACTTGCAACTACAAAATCTACGAACTGGATGAGCACAAAATGATTCAAGTTAAGTGGGACGGGCTTAAACTTCCATCTTTTTGTAAAATGTCCTTTATCGGTAGCAGTGACTCCCATGTTTTAAACAGATATGAAATCTGTGTTGAAGCGAAGACGTATGCTATTAACAGGTGTGATTTCTCAATGAAATACTTCAATGGATTCAAGATTGAACCAACGAAGGTAATCATTTGACACTTGCTTCACATTTCTGATAAATATTAGACATGGTACCAGATGTTTAACGGAAGTGATATATCCTTCTAGATTATGCAATTTGATAGTTAAATTTAAATTTTAAGCATGATTCATTTCATTTCAAATAAACTTTTAAAGTATTTAATCAGAACATTCACATGATGAAAGAAAAAAAAGCTGCTGTGATGGAGGCATGATCATGGTCTTTATAGTGACATTTCCGTCAGACTGCAGTACCGACTATGATGTAATGTTAAAGCTGATGAAACTGGTTCCCGAAATCTTTTTAACAGTATACCGGGAAAACCACGCTTCCGATTAAAAAAGCAATAAATGATTACTAATATGTTCTATTTATATTTATTTATTAATTAATATTTTTGTGAAAACAGTTTTGAATAATATCCGTACAATATAATTGATAATATTATGATCGACTTTGTCATTGAACTTATTTATACATTAAGAGATATAAAGAATATTTCCACAACAATAAATAAAATAAATGCCAATAGATATTATGTAATTAAAAGTAGTATTATGTTACCTGTTTAACATCGCTTTCTATAGCTTAGATTTATAATTTTATAATCATTTCATTTTATATTTCTTTTTTTAATTTATGATTGAGTACAGAAGTTTTTCTGTCGGGCTAAACATTTTTGATCTCTTATATTAGTTCTGGTTAACTAAATACATTTATTCTGCCATTATTAAGGAATACAGGTGCAATGGCGGATTACCTCCAAAATTCTGTGCTGGCGAAAACAACTATTTCGAAATCCAATTCGAAGCAGGCTCGTCCCCTACCTCTTCATTGATGCTGGAAATTACTGCAAAGTTGACGTGTAGGTACAATAAATAGGCTAAACCTTCCGTATGTGCTCATTCATGAGAAGTAATAAAACTGCACTTTATGAATCTTTGATATGACATCACCATGCATATAAAGTCACTACTATAACAATTCGGTCCTCCATCAGTCCAAGCTCTGTCAAGGTTTTATAACCCATGGTCATAATGCACTATAGGAAAAGGATGTTATTACACTGATGACAGTGTAGTTATGTGATAAATGTATAACATTTCCTCCTATTGCAAAAAGAAAATAATTGAGAGGCTAAAGCTATAAAAAATAATAATAAATGTCTGGGCTCCGAAATATGTTGAGACCCGTTCAACAAAACAAATTCTCACGACATCAACATAAATAGATATGCCTTTATTTGTTCTTACAGTAATTGTGTTGCATTTATTGAAATGTCTGTCTTGATAATTTCCGGTGTTTGTTTTACAGATGAAGAAAACAATACATTATTGTATGTCGGTTTAGGAATGGGTGCTGTTTCCTGCTTAGCAATTGTGTGTGTGATCCTGCTTCTGGTGTTTCGTAGGAAGAAACAACAAAGTAGCGAAGATGTGGTCATGCGGCCACCCACAACTTTACCGCAAAGACCAACCGTAATGGCATCTGCTCCACCTCCGCAACCATACGGTCAACCTGTTCACGGTAAGGAACTTTGACACGTATAAACGAGTTCAAGAAATTTTAAAGGCGAGCTAAGATAAAAAAATCAAAAGATAAATCACCTTTTAAGTGGAAACGAGTTGAAAACCCTTTTTATCACATAATTAATTATTCGGGAAACAGGGGATATTGAATGGTTTTCCTTATTATAACATAGATATTTCAGAAGTATGACATAATACTTTTTACTAGAGCGAAGCAGGATTAGGGCTGAAGTGATGGTAAGAAATATATTTCACCGTCAAAAATTAAATACAATATTGTAGAAATTTTTCAAAGCAATTTCAGTTTTGTATCTATGGTCACCATTGTTACGTCACAATGCAACCTGTGTGTAATGTCATTTCCTAATCTAAAGCTGATGTCAAAGTTAGTTACATAACACAAATGTAATGAAATTTATATAGATATATTGAATGAGTAACAATGCATTAAATATATCAAAGAAGATAAGGCAAAGACGCTAATGTACAAGATATTTAAACGATATAGTTATTTTCACTTTTGAAAAGTGAAGCAAAATGTTTATTGCTTCATATTTTTAGAAGTTTTGATGGAACAAAGTAACATATTAGAACTTAATTATTTTGGTTTTCAGGTATATATTCAACACCTATGGCTCTGCCGACGTATTCGGAGTCGCCCTATGCAGATCCCAAGTTTCCAGCATCGCAATAGAATCTATGAAAAACCAATCAGAAAACTTAAATGTTATGTAGAGAAATGAACATATTGATACCCTTTGAAATTTTTGCTTTTACATATATTATTTCTACTTTAGAAACAAGATTCTTCATTGAATCGGAGATAAATTTCCTAAAGGTTTTTTTATCATCAATGATCAGATAAAGCTTATATTTAAAGTTTAAAACAGCCTTGCAAGATATATGTCTTTGTATAGTATGACTAAGAAAAATTCGCTTTTAAAATCAGTTTTATTAAGTAAAACAAAAAAAAACAAAAAACAAAAAACAAAACAAAACAAAAACACTAAAAAACACCCAAGCTTAGCACAAAATTTAAGTGACAAATTAGCCATATTGAGGCGGCTACTGCATCGTTATAAAACGTAAAAAAATGATATGGCTATGGTAACATAGCTGAGATAGGCACACACGAGAGGTTTTACTGTATTTATCAAAACCTCCTGATAACCACATCGCCAGTGTTTGTGGAACTTGACGGAACTACTCAATCATGCACTGTTGTTTGGTATATCAGAGCAGCTTTATTCTTCTTCTAATAAATACGCTTTCCGTCCTTGCTATCTTTTATGGAATCCTCTGGAAAATGTTCCTTTTTAAGGTTTTGATCATTTCTATTAGACTGCTAGCGTCCGCCACCAAAATTCCAACTCCCACCAACACTAGAATCGTGCAGCCAACACAGCCCACAGCCTCAGCGGATGGTCGGCTGTCCTTAGCTGAAGTCTTGGTTCGGATATAACTACTTGTGGTATTTTTCAGGATTAGAAGTTCTGACCGCAGCTTTGTTATGATGGCCTGAAGCTCTTCAGTTGTATAATTAGAGGCACTGTAATTACCACAGCCACACTGGGATGACATCGTTACTTCAGGAGATTGTGTTGACGCCGTCAATGTAGCTGTACATTGGGTTGTTAACGTCAATGCGACTGTGGGAAGGGTTACATCCGTTAGAGGTGTTGTTAATATTTCGTCCGGCCATAACTGTTCTTGTTCGCTGGCCGTGACTGTCGCTGTCGGTGTGATGTTAATCGGCACTGTAGAAGAAGACTGTGTGGTTTCCGTCATGGTGGCTGTTAACAAGACAGTTTGGGATATTGATAGACTAGATCGTGAATCATCAATCGATGTTAATGTAGATTGGATGGATTCATATAAGGATGCAGTGGAGAGTACAGTGTTAGTCAATATGTTTGTTTCTGCCAAAGCTGTATGGTTGTAAGGCGTACTCAAATACCCAGTGGATGTGACAGATGGCGCTACTGAAACGGTTTCGCTCTCTCTCGTCGGAGATCCGTTGCCACAGTTTCGTACAAAAGCATCGTTTCCTTCAGCCTATGAAAGGAAAATATTAAAAATCAATCTGATGGTAATTTCTGTAAATATTTCTTAAATGGTACCATTTTTAATGAATATTTCTAACTTTCAATACAGAGCACTACGGTAAGAAGATGTTATCAATAATATTTTCATTTCAGAACTGAAAAAAACAGGTAGAAGCGCTATACTGTTTTGTTGACATCTTAGGGAAGTAGGAGCAAGAAGTAGAGTCTTGTTTTCATTCTAATTGTATCTTGGTTTTGGTTGTGGTAGCTAGTGAAATAAAAATATGACATGTTTTTAACAGATTCATATGTGCAGGAATTAATTCAAATTAAGATGCATACAAAAACAATTCCCCTTGGTGAATTCTGTTACTTCCCAAAAACCTTCATAGTACATGTACAAATCATTATATCGACCAAAGATACCACAGACACCCTAGATTAATTTTCCTTTTTTTACTGACTAAATTTGCGAAATGCTATACCAACAGAATATCAGCTTAGCGTGAAGCTACAAGACAAGACTAACAGGAAAGGAACACGACTATTCTTTATTGACATGTGATGTATATTCTTGTCAAATGAAGAATCTGTATTGCTGTATTTCACATAACCCGGTGGACCTTATATATCTTATATTCCAATAGAGTACAATGTACATATTTAGAAATATTTCATTGGATATATTACAACAATTGATGCGATAACAAAGCACCATTTGTATAGGTTGTTATATAAATTATCTGTAAAAAAAATCTTTCATTAGAATATGACACTGTAAGAGTAAAAAGATACTAAAGGATAGCTTAACAATTAATATGATAAACATTTAGAGGTTATGCATATATATATATTAAGCTTAGTATGAATACCTTTTGGAAAGCATTCTGGATGTTCCGGATATCTGTAATTTGCAATGCTTTCCTATGGATTTAAAGATAAATATACCCGTTTATTGCTACTCACTCGGTGCCTCTTGTATATTCTTTAGTCAAAGATTATTTTTGAAACTGAAGCCGGATTTAGCAACAAATGGATAATTTATGGTAGCAATATGAAGGTAGCTAATCGAAAAGCCCATTCTTGACAACGGAAATTAACCAAAGATTGTCAAAAATAACATACCAAACTACTGTTAACAAGCAATGGGTAACTGAACGTAGAAGTGCCTTTCCATCCATGAATGTAACCAGTCAGTAGGACAGAATTGCCATTGGTCCTGATGATATGAACGCCACCTCCCACTGATTTATGACCGGAAGTCATACCATCTGCCGTCAACTCATCCACATCATCCCCATTGCCACATTCAACAGTTACATGCCCATAATCATGACTTTGTGTCGCAAATACAAATTCTGCTCCATCTGCATATTCTGGTACGTAAAACACGAGGTTGCCGTTAATAACTGCCAGTGGCTGCAGTATAATCAGCCACGGACTTGCATCAGTGCTTGGTGTAAACAATGCTATCATGACAGGGTTATTCGAAACGAATGTGCAAGTTTCGTTCTGAAATTCTAAGGTAGAATATGACCCTTCAATGTCCAGTGATACTGATTGCTTCACAGGATTATTAGAACACGCATAAGTGACAAGAGTGCCTGCTTGGTGTGCGACTATTTTACAAAAGTATGCCGCATACGTTGGAGCGACCGATACAAACTTTGTACCCCAGGTATTAACTGGTGGCAGCTGTTCCACCAAGTGGCTATCCATTGAACCAGTTGAGAAAAACTTATTTCCACTGAAGACGCTTACCGGTTTATCTGATTGAATTCTCATTCCAGTAAAATCGCCGTGTTCACTTTGAATTTGTAACGTTTCAAAACTGTTCATTGTGATGTTAAAATTCTTTTCATTTCCATAGAAAACGTTTTCTATTTCGACACCATCAGCTAAACCATTTTTCACATTTATCAGCACATTCACATCGGTTCCGGAAGTCAATGCCACTATAAGAATCTGAGGGTGTGTTGACATTCCGATTTGATCATTGAATGTTAATGCATAATACACGTTGCCGAGTGAAGTATCTTCTCTTGCGACAAACCCCGCCATGTAGGGGGTCTCATCTTTTCTGTTAAAACCTTGAACTAGGACGTTTTGATCTGACAGTATTCGAATGGCACGTGAACTCAGATCTGAATTTCTCACTGTGAAGTCCGCACCAAATTCTATACCAAGTGTATCTGAAGCATTTAACGCAGACATTTTTACAATTCCAGACTTTGAAACAACAGTGATATTTGCAACATGACTATCAATGTTAGCAACAGCTACAAAGTGGTAGGCGTCATTTGCATTCTCCATAAAGGCGATGGTATAGTTGAAACTTTCTGAAATTCAAAATCACAATATCAAAATACTTTCCCAGCAAATCACAAATATAATCTATTGTCATATAAATTCACGCAAGAAAGATAATGAAATTTGAATGTAATAACAATCGACCAAAATTCCAATTTACTACCATTATAAATGATAAATGCAAATAAAAAGGTGTAAGAACACTCTGGTCACTCGAACATTCTATTGGGTTGTCAGTATTGTATTCTCAATACTTCAAAAAGATGCCGCACAAAAATTCTATATAAAAAACACTGAATAGTCACCTGGACTGATATAAGATAAAATACAGGGTATTCACCATGTTAGATTTACCAAGAACAAATGAGTAAACAAACAAATATTACAATGTACATATCGCATAATTTTGGATACCCACCGGGACAGATAACAGTAGAATTACATCTGCGATAGTCTGTATTTGATCCTTTACATGGTCTTCCGTCGTTTGATGGAGCTGGTTCCGAACAGGTACGTGTGCGTGTTTGGGTTCCGTTGCTTGGAATACCATATCGACCACACGTCTCTGAACAGTCGGTGTAATTACCCCAGCTACTCCAGTTACCGTCCACTGACAAAATAAGGATAAACTTATTTTCTTTAAGGGTAATTAGAAATAGATTAAATCCATGATATGTATATGATGATCCATTTGATATAACTTCCCTATTTTTTTCTGATTAATTCTTCATGTTATCCATAACAATTCTTTTTTGTGCGGCTAAATCCTCTGCCTTTAAGTTTATATCTGTCTTAGCATGACTTAGTTGCTCATTCATACATATTCACAAAATCAAGATCAATATTACGACAGTAAAAGTTTCCAGTAATATTCACTAACACGAATTCTATGTCGGTTGGCGGCAAGTTGCAGGTCGTAATATTGGGAGCAAACCCTTAATATCTAATGATAATACCATAGGTAGGAGATTCAGGGCTGTTGCTACCCTGAATGGGAAAATTCACAATAGAGAAATCGAAATTATTATGCTTATCGTAGAGCTTGTTGGAAAATTGTCTCAGTTTGTTCCGTTGAAGGATATTTGTGAATCAAAATACCAATTTGAAATGTCATGGGAATTCAGTATTGCCATTTATTGTTCTTTTCTTTTGACTATCTACTGCTACATGTTTCATAATTAACATATAAGTCGGGGACGTTTGGATAAACAATACCTCAAGACACTAAGCACGTGCTACCTACTTAAGTATACTCAATTGTTCACGTAATGACGTTCTAGTTTTTTTCTATTTCCACTAACATGCCGCGAGATTCCACTTACCTGCCGCGAGGTTCCACTAACCTGCCACGAGATTCCACTTACCTGCCGCGAGATTCCACTAACCTACCGCGAGATTCCACTTACCTGCCGCGAGATTCCACTAACCTACCGCGAGATTCCACTAACCTGCCGCGAGATTCCACTAACCTGCCGCGAGATTCCACTTACCTGCCGCAAGTTTAGCACAGTCTTCATTATATAAACCGTCGCCGTCATCATCTGTAAAATACCAGTATTTCAATTTCTATTTTGCGATTTAATTTTTTTTTCGTTTATCTTATCGAAATATCAAGAAAACTAAAACCGAAATTTGAAAAAAGATTTTCATGAGACAGACTCTGTGTGGTTTGACATTGTCAACATGAACGGTTTTAGTTCACTCGCTGCATTAGGATAATAACAAATCGCCTGACATTAAACAGTGCTGCTACTTGCCTCTATGTCATACCACAAAGAACCATTCCAGAAGCTTGCCATCTTTCAGCGAATGACAAGTTTCAAACATCATAACCACGTGTGTGGTTTACCAGTGATACATGTGCAAATGCTGTTTTAAATAGCAAAGCAAACTAGTTTTTCAAGAGTAAGAAGCATCCTTGTTTAATCCGGGATACCGTTAGATGGGGGTTGAATTTCTTGTTGGCATACGGCACCAAACACCAAAGGAGTCACTGATAGGAGTTCGACAACGTTTGATTTTACGAAAGGTAAAATCAGCTTTGATTAAAATCATTATATTGATGCTCCCAAACTTATTGTCAAGTGTGTTTATGCACCGTGTCCGTTTAGAATTAGCTACCGAATATATTATTAACATCTCCAACATAGCTTAGGGTTTTATTACTTATAAGTTTAATGTAAAGCTTAAAAATCTTCTAGAAGTAGGTTTAATTGTTAAGGAACACTTCCATGATTATAACCATATGATATATATTCTAAGGTTAAGCGTCAGGAGAAAGTTTTCCGAGTGACCGTCCTGTGGGTTTTCAAACATATCAATAATGGTTGATGTCATTGCTCCATATTATCAGATGGCTCATTAATGTCCGGGTCATGTAGAGTTCAAAATGGTCGTCAGCGAAGCAAATTTTTCATAGATACAAAAATAAATATGTCTTGACCAAATGCAACAATAATTTTAAACATTGCTAAAGCGTCACATAAAGTATTACATTGCATTTAACCCCATTTGAGTGTAGACCTATGTGATATTGATATACAATGTGCCTTAATGATACACACAGGGGAGTCATGATGATGGAAAGTCCAGTAATCTCATTAATTATACAGAAGGATTCTAAACCCACTCTATTTACATCCATTAAATATAGATATATCATGATACTTCAGAATATCTGTAGATATAGGTTACTTTTGTTCAATGCATTATAGTTTCCAGGCCCCAAACTTCTGCATTTTTTCCTTATCAACAGGATAAAACTGACATTTCTTCCTTTTCTTCTCGAGATTTATGTAAAAGGAATGCTAACTCGCGATTGACATGATCGGTTCCACTTATATCGATGCGATGCATTTATATGACTTAACATTTTGACTTTAATTTCGGACCGTTCTGCCTTATCGCAGTCGTTTCCTCGGGCAAGACACTCTACTATAATTGTAGTGGATGATAGGCGACAAACCTGTCTCATATTGACCTTGGCTGTTCACGACACGATAGATTCATTTAAAACAAACAAAACTACTTCAACTTCATATCATCCGAAAGACTGCAACACCTTAAATACGAATTAAGTTGAAGTTTGAATTAATAAGAAAAGAAAGAACAAGGAAGATGTACAAAAAAAACCGTGAGGGCTAAAGAACACATTCGGTTCTAATGTGTGTTTTCAATCATTAACATAGACTTACTGTGAGGACAAACGTTTATCTTGTTAGATATTCTCCACCACAAATACATGATTTATTCCATAGCCTTATGGAATACGTTTGTTGTTTTCATGGTACAAGACAAGGTACAATTAAGATGATTATAAATATTATTTGTTCATTTATGTGCAACACCAACCTTTTGTCATGACCGAGCTGGTTTATATGTAACAGCATTGAAATGAGTGTAATGTAAAATTAAATATATATATAAGTACATTTTAATTGTATAATACACATGTACCACTATCCGTTAGATCTGTATGTATTCGATAGCCTTGATGAATAAACTGACATAATTAGAGAAAGAGCACGAGACCCACAACATCTTCCTCCACCTGAAATCTGAATTAATATCGCGTATTTAATATCAGTGATCGAGTTGTATTTATTTATTTTGTTTGTAGCGACCTTACCGAATGCCATTCTAGTGGTGGTTTCAACACAGAGTTCCTCGTCGATAAGACCATCACAATCGTTATCTAGACCATCTCCAGCTCTAATACTAGTGTTCTTGCATTCCTGGATATAAAACGTAGTTTTACTTATGCAATGAAAAACAATACCATAGAGTATACAATAGAAATACATGTATGTAGAGATATTATACATGTCTACACATACTTGAAAATGCTTTCCTGACATTCGAGTTTACGATTTAACTTCTCAATAATATTTCATATTTTAACATTTCAATGTCGTGAAATATCAGTTTTAAAACATCAAATGAAATCAAATGTTGTCAAACGTAATTCATTTTTGCTAACACCATGTCAAGATCTTTGGCAATTTCCCGTGGAAAAAGTTCTTTCACTGACATCATGCTCATGTTAAACCTTTAAAAACATTTTTTTTTTGTTAGGGTATATAATGATGTTAAGATTGGGATTATTATTGTTATTTATTTATTTTTCATATTCATAAGGTCGTTACAACCGTGGTATTCTGCCCGCTAAAACATGATAAATACATCAAGAAACCTGTGTTCATAACTTGACGAATTTCGAAGATGACATTCTAGTGATTTATCCTACATAAAGATACAATACAAATAGCGCTGAAATTTAATTTCTCGGTATAAATTATGATGTAAAAATTTATTTAGTATATCGCTATGCAGGTAAAATTCATACAAATGTTAAAAGTAAGGTACCATCAGAACACACTAAATTCAATTCACGAAGTGTTTGTATTAAGAATCTTACAAGATTGGATACAAGATGAACATCATTATTGCAACAGCGCGAAATCAAGGAAAAATAGCAAAATGTATGAAAAATAGATGTCCACTAGATTAAATGCAGATATTAAGTGAAAAATGCAATAACCTGGAGTGTGAAACTGATTAATGCATTGGCAGAAATCAATTAATTTAACCAACAGGATTATGCATTTGTGTTTTCTAAATGGTTCAATTATATTGATTGTTTTATTAATGACTATACTCACCGTGTTGATTGGAGAAACCCGAAAACCGGCACCTGTTGCATAAAGCTGATTGGGTGCCATACCGTATATGAAGCCACCGAAAGTAACGATAGGGGAGATGTGTCGTACGGTATGCGCTCCGTCTGAAACGCTGATGTGACATATCACATAGTCCGTCGCACTAACAGCTCCAATTACAATCGGAAACGGAATCACATCCCCGTCTATTCTTAATCCACTTTTTTCCTTATCATCAACAATTATCTTTAACATGCTTTCGAATGGGCCATCAATGGGGTTCGGGTTGGTGAAAGTAAAATCAGGGCCGAACTGTTCAACCGGAGGAATAAGCACCATAGACAACCTATTCTGTGAGCTTTGACAAATCTGAGCCACAAGAATGGGTTTGTCTGCCTCGATTGTACAGATTTCAGAATAGGGTATACCAAAGCTATGTGTTTCACCTACTCGTGTTAAATGAAACGTATCTGCCGGAGCGTCATTACATGTTTTGTGAACTGTTGTGTTGTCTCTACTGGCAACGAATTTTAAGAAATTGGTGTCAACTTGTTCCGGAATAGGAGATACTACAAAAATTTGCCCCCAAGATTTGACAGCAGATACTTGTTCTATGGTATGACCAAGATATTGATTAGAGCCACTAACAATCTGCTTATTTCCATTGAAAACAGAGATATTTTTATCTGCAATGATTTTCGTGCCACTGAGATCGCCTTGGCTGATAAAATGAAATGTATCAAATCGTTGTAATTTTAATCTGAAAGTTTCACCAGCACCGTAAGGTGTTTCTTCGTACGTGACAGTACTGCCTCCTATAGCCATACCTAAGGTAATGGTTACAATGGTTGGAGTAGATACGCCTACCAACATTACCTGGCTTTGAGACGACTCATCTGTTAACACGAAATAATTCGTACCAAGTACATCAGTTGGTAGAGCAAGGAAGAAATCACTTGATCCACCCGCAGAATCGAAACCCCAAACAGAAATTTCATCATCTGCAGTGATCAGGACGCCTTTCACATCAGTCTGGGTTCCTCTCATTCGTATATTTTGTGATATTGTTATTCTTTTGGTTTCGCCAGAGGATATTGTAAAAGCAGTCTCGCTTATTACTGCAGCTCCGTATATTGGTGCCGTGACCTGGACATTGATGGTAGAAGTTTTCACAGTCGTTATGTAAAGCAAAACATCACTTGAATCTTCTATCATTTCGGTGAATCCTAAAATGAACTCGGTGCCAGAATTGTCAGGCGCACCTGTGAAAATAAGGCCTTAACCATAATTATAATGTTTACAAACGTTTTTAGGAACAAACATTGAAGATTGTACAAAAGACACATAAGTGTAGAGCCAAACAATGAATTTAACTGTATCATACAGCTGTCAGTGATGCTAATATTTTGAAACCTAGAAGGCGACTAAGGAAAATTCAAAGTGGTCAAAAGAAACGTCAAAATCAAGACGGAGAGGTGCAGCAGGCATATAATAAAAGAAATTTCGTAATTTTTATACATCATATAATTTAGAAATATATTTTAGACATGAAAATGACAGGTTAACATTAGTAAAATCAAATGCCCATTTGAAGTATTCATTAACAGATCCTGATGATATGTTTGGAAACACGTAAGAAAATGTTTGTCATATTGATAACAAGCATTGTCACTAATATACTAAACAGAAAAAAGAAATGCACGAGATAACCTATACATAAGGAATGATCTCCTTTCTCCACAATTTATCCTAAAACCAGTCAAGTGTGACGATGTCATTGTATGACTTTGTGAGATTCTTTAGTCCAAATCACGCGTCGTGATCAAGCCATTCCATTAAAACGCATAATTTTAACAGATACTATAAGTTCTGTCACATTAATTTTATAAATAATTTTCAACGTAAGCAATTTAATTTCGCCATTGACCGAGATGCCACGCTTAACGCAAGTTCAGAGGAGTATAGCAATTGCGATGTTGATGGATGGTCATATCCAAAATGCTGTCGCACGTCAGTTTGGCGTTTCACCGTGTACAATTAACCGTCTCTATACACGTTTCCATGCTACTAGGTTAGTTTCCGATCGTCCCGAGGGCGGTCGTTCGAGTGTTTCGACCGCATGACAAGACAGGGCGATTAGATTGGCACACTTGCGCAACACATTCAAGACTGCTGTAGAGACTACGTCGCATATTTTAGGTGCTCATGGCAGGCCCATCAGTACTCAAGCTACCAGGAGCCGCTTGCGTGCCGAGAGAATCATTGCGCGCCCACCTTAAGTTTGGCCCCTATATGACACCACGGAGGCGGCAAGTGCGTCTTGACTGTTTGCGCAGATATGGCCCAAATAGATTTGGGATTCATCGGTGGAGGCGTGTGATGTTCACCGACGAGTCTAGATTCTGTCTGTATCGCTCATTAGGAAGAAAATGGCATATAGCAGACGCGGTGAGCGTTTTTGCCGACGCATGCGAAATATTCGGTAGAGCTTCTGTAATAGTTTTGGGAGGCATCTCCCATGAAGTAAAAATCCCGCTTAATGGTCTTTGATCAAAACCTCAGTGCCGTTGGATACAAAGACGAGATCCTCAAACCACATGTCCTTTCACTTCCAGACGTCATAAAATAATTTCCCATCAAGACAATGCTCGACCGCAAGTTGCCAGAGTCTGTCGTGGTTTTCTCACGGCAAATAACGTTCAGTCTCTGGAATTGCCCCCATATAGCCCCGACATTTCTCCCATTGAACATCTGTGGGATGAACTGTACAGGCGTATTAGGAAATGTCAACCCCCTACTAACGCCCAGTTGATCACAGCATTAACAGAAGAATGGAACAACATTCCCTTCAGCTGAATCAAATTTCTCATGAATCCTATACGTAGGAGAATCCGTGTAGGGATTCGTGCAAGAAATACCAACACCAGCCACTTAAGTGTCATTTTGTTTTTCGCGGGTATCACACTTTGAGTAACTACTGACGGCACAAGTGACATCACACAGACGTTTCTTCTAAAGTAAAGAGTAAATTTTCTCCTTCACATTGATATGAAATAATTGGTACAAATTCTCCAAAATATCATAGGTTTATAATTGCATAATTTAATTGTGCGTTCGTTTTTCTATTGAGTATATAATGCTACCTTCTTATGTTGAGAAGTTATCATCCAAACAATTCTAAGAGTTATGATTCAAGCTAGATACTTATTTGCCTTGAAGAAAGTTTATGAAATAAAGATAAGGTTTTAATCACCTAAATACGAAGTATTATCTTAGCGTGATAATAATTGTGTCATTAATTAGTTAACATTATATTTATCCGGGGTCAAGGTTGACTATTACATGTACCTATAGGTAAGAAATATGTAAACTGTAGTGAAATAGGTGGAAATTAAATTTTTAAAAATATGGTTACATTTTTTTAAAGTAATATCGTTTCGTGTACTCATCCTATGATATAGATTAATAACAGTTTTGTTTGCTTTCTTGCGAAAAATGTATGTGGCATTATCTGTTTAACACGATGAAGCGATAACTCAACAATGCAAGCTTTTGATAACCTAGGTATCATCACATTCATGAGCGTTGTTTAACCGAAACATTTTAATAAGAATTCATCTTTATGAATTTATTCACATTTTCACATCTGGTGTTTACAGTGATTCAAAAAAAAATATGATTTGCGTTTGGAGCTCTTAGAATTTATCAGATTTCTTGCACCTACAGAATAAATATGTGGTATTGCAATATGCATTATAACTCACCTGACCCTTGGCTTGGCATTATGGCCACGGTACAAAGGATGAGTAACCATAGATCAGCCATGATGCACTTAAACCTGTCTCACGCCAAAGTGTCGACTGCTTCATCAGTACCGTACCGCGTCATCTATCTGTGATAATGGCTGACGAAATTAATTATTTACCAGTGTTGTTACCGCTGAAACCTCAGAAGGATGGCCAGGCTATCGTCGGTCTGGATCTCATTTCAATGGGCAATCACCCGTTACGTCCGATTTATAAATCAAGATCAAATTGAGAAACATTTTCACTCCAAGTTCGAATCTTAGACCATGCCCATGTGTTTTAGTATACGTAAAATTATTGATGCTTTGATATCAACTTCAATGTCCTTTAACGTTAAACAACCACACCCTTCTCATCCTGTACTCGGATATTTTGTGTAATAGTAAAGAAGATAGGTAAGGAGTTATTTTCTAATTATAACTCAACTGTTCATACATAACATTCAATACCATTATCCTCAAGCGATTTAATATCACGTCATCTAAAGGAAGTTGTCTTATTTACAACCGAAAGCAGCGTGTTTGGTAAATCTAACGCAATAGAGTTTTTGGCTTTAGTTGAGTTCTCACTATAATCATGTTGCCATAGAATTGAATGAAAAGACAGAGGAAGAAAAAAGGAGGTAGGTGAAATTGAAATCATTTTGGTAAAAGTGAATGCATTTTTCTCTTGATAAATATTTAAACCACAGTAAAAAAAAAAAAAAAAAAGGGAAGAAAATGTTTTGACATCAAAACCATCACACCGTACCTGTAACGTATAATAGTGATTATATAAAGAATTGAAAGAAATATTTAAAAAGAAAAAAAATGTGCAACTACCCACAAAAATAGAGTGAGGTAATTATATCGAAACAAAAGACAAGAATAAGTAAGTTCCATGAGCTAATCGAAAGCAGCATTAAATTTTGACAATGACATCGAAGTTATTGCCACCAAGAGGGTAAGCAGCACAATAAGCTGTTTCAAGTTCTGTTTTTATTGCACGGTTAATATGATGTTTAATGAAGCGGAAAGTCGTTTACTTTCATAATACAATAGACGTATGTCTGAAATGACTCGGATGTATTTTCTTGATCTAATATAAAGAAGTGAATAACGCTTGACTTCCTTCCCTGATTACCGAATGATTCAGTTACTGATAAGTCATTAGTCAATGTCACGTCTCCAGAAACCGAAGATCAGATGTAATAAACCAATTTTTTTGATTACCTAACATACCTAACTGTATAAAGGCAGACAGCTTGCCTTTGTTTTCACATCAAAGTTCTAAGAATAAAATGTAAGAGAGAGAATTATCTCCCTTTGATTGAGAAAACTGTTCAGCATTAATTGTTTATTTCAGGATGATCTTAGTTATTGAAAAATAGTTTATGTAGACGATAACCCTGTATGGATCTATACAACCGCTGTACTGTTTATGAGTATACACACTCTCTCTCGTGATAAATTGATATGTAATGGTTCTGCTTCTCCACATCTCCCTGTGGAGCATTAACTTCTGGAACACGACTGGAGGTCATAATTAACTGGTCAAACGCTAGAGAACACATAACCACAACCTCAATTTATGACAAAATTAGAAACGACAGCTACACGAGATACTTTATATCTTTATTAAAGGTAGCCATGTCGGAATAGGCAGCGTTATCAATCCATTAGTCCGGAAAAGTCAGTATCCGAACAATATCCACGTTTTAAACGAAGAAAAATGTTGGTACATTTTCAGTTTTTGTATGCATTCGTTATTCAAAGAGCAGAATTTAAGCAAATGTAGTCATTTTATTTCGTGTGAATGAATTGTAAATACAGTTTGACTATCAATTCTGAATGGGATTTAATCACGTCATATCAGATGCGGCTTTACAAGAATCTCCATTCACAGTGTGGTGGTTTTGTTGGGGCTAAAATTAGTGGTAAACTTCAATTAAATTTTCTGAAAATGTTAAAAAAAAACATGAACTAAACTAAGTATATATATATATCAAATTTTAGTTGGCACTATATTCCATTAATCCACGTGACCATATGTTTATAATTATATTCTCTCTTGAAATTCAAAACAAATAGCTCAATAATAGACTGCGGTTGTCTCGACTTTGGCTAGTTCACGGTGATTAAATGTAGCGCATGTCCATACATTGGTGTCCATGTACCCATTACACGATATTTTGACTGTGGTTTGAAATTGAGTTCGTGTCATCTTCAAGAATTGGGAAATTTTACAAACTCTCTGCTAATATTACCAATTATACTGTAATTAAAAAAAATTAAAATAAAACTTTCATTATATTCTGGTATGGTAATGTGATCGTAAATAGCATATTTTCCGAGATTTCCATCAACAAAAGTAAAAATGTATTTTCCCCCTTTTTTCATTCCTTCCTTATATCCAGATGCATGCAGTTTAATACAAGAGGCATATAGAAGTTAAACTGTCACCAGTGCTTATCAACAACAATTGGTAATGGTAATTCTGAAGCGCAACGACGGACGTGTGTGTAAGGCACCAGTTCATGGCGGAGAACAAGGAAGTCAGAAGTCTGGCAGGAGGTGTTGATGGTCCGAATGTAAGAATACCAAGGCAGCTAAAGGTATCAATAACAAACCTGAAAATAGAAGGAAATTGCTTTAATTGATAAACCTCAATCAATAAATAGTATTTGACAGTTTCCCCCCCCCTTTTTTTTTTTACTAGGCACTGTACCTAAAAATCAAATAAATCATTTTTCAAGTAAATATTATTTCCTATCGAGGGGAGATTAGATTACACGAAAGTAGGGATATATTTACGATCAAGTTTGAATTATTTTAATGAAAAACTTTGTCAATGAAAAATCAAAATGAATTGCACTTCCCCGATATAGAATGACCTGGCATTTTTCTCAGGAAATATTTCAGCTAGATATACCAAGCATGGAGATCACCAGCTAAAATTATTGTACCCTTACATACAGAATTTAATGGTGATTCCACATGATTAACAAACCTTATTTTTGGCTATTATAAGGTTTTGATGTGATTTATGTATTTGAATCGTTGATGATATAAATTTAAATCGTTTCTAGACCACACAAGACGGACTATGCATCTTGATGTCAAAATAAAATTTTAGAATGCAGCTGTTAATTGATTTTTAATTATCATTAATTAGTTCCTGTCAAAACTGTGTTGTATGTCTTTAATTTTTTGTCTATTTTCCTCTTGTCATCCATACCAGGAAAATACCAAATTTAAAATTTTGATACTATCAAAATCTAACAATAGTCGACGAGGATCTTACTTGCTTTGGTGCGATCAGATTTAGTGAAACATAAATTTTGAACAAATAAACACAATGATGAATTCTCATTAATTGTTATATTGATGACACACAGAAACTGTAAATAGAACAGTCTTATCTTATTGTAATATCTCTACCGCGAAAAGCGGTAAAATAGGATCACCACTAAAAATATATGTTTTAAAGTATCACTAAACTATCTACTTCATAAGATTTAGATCGATAAAGAATTGACTGAATCTTTCATATCCTCTTGATTCTGGAAACAATTCAGTTCACTTAATCCTTTCATTCTCTATAGTATACTAACAGCCATATATCTATCAAAAGCCTCTCGTCTCTTTATTTCTTATTTTAATAGTTTTTAAGTTTACGTTGTTAAAGTATTTTTATAGTTCATCATAATTAAGATAATTAAATGTAAACACTGTAAGCACATACTTAATATCTTTATTCTCATCACAAAGTACTACATTTTAGTAGTTTTAACAGTTCAAGGACGTTTATAGCTGTTTGAGGTAATACGTCCAAGCTGTACTATTAGATTATGAAATTAGATAGAGATTACATGAAGTTTAGGAAATGGCGTGTATGTTTAAAGGTCAGATGTGCATCATGACTACAATCAGCCCAACAATCCATGTAATTCAATTGAAAAGAATCCAGCAAGTAATCTACCAGTAGGTACCTTATTGATTTTGTTGTGTTGCCAAATTCTTTTCACACGACACAGTTGCCATGTTTCATTGCGACGTACATGTAGGGACCTTTAACGGTATCCCGGCCATAAATACACCCCAACGAACTAAGCTGGACAGTGAAAATATCGGTGATACGGTGCATCACATGCATTGTGTTTTATGGTTTTGCTATATGCTAATCCTGTCATGTCTGTGCATGCAATGCTGTGACTAGCACTGGAAGTAGGAAAACAACTGAATGATAAAGCATCACTGATGAGTCCTAGAAGAATGAACCAGCTGTATAATGCAACATTACTGAATATTCCTAGAAGGACGAAGCTTAGAAGGATGAAACAATTGTATGATACAGCATTGCTGGCGAATTCTAGAAGGACGGATCTTAGAAGGACAAAACAGCTGTATGATATAGCATTACTGACGGTTTCTAGAAGGATGAAGCTTAGAAGGATGAAACAGCTGTTTGATACAGCCTCACTGCCCTGTCCTTGAAGGACGAAGCTTAGAAGGACAAAACAGCTGCATGATACAGCATCACTGACGGGTTCTAGAAGGATGAAGCTTAGAAGGACGAAACAGCTGTTTGATACAGCCTCACTGTCGTGTCCTTGAAGGACGAAGCTTAGAAGGACAAAACAGCTGTATGATACAGCCTCACTGACGGGTTCTAGAAGGATGAGGCTTAGAAGGACGAAACAGCTGTTTGATACAGCCTCACTGACGGGTTCTAGAAGGATGAAGCTTAGAAGGACGAAACAGCTGTTTGATACAGCCTCACTGACGGGGGTTCTAGAAGGATGAAGCTTAGAAGGACGAAACAGCTGTTTGATACAGTCTCACTGACGGGTTCTAGAAGGATGAAGCTTAGAAGGACGTAACAGCTGTTTGATACAGCCTCACTGACGTGTCCTTGAAGGATGCATCAGCTGTGTAATTCAGCGTGATATTTTGTATTAATTCCAGTTCTAAATCTGTACTTAACGTAGCTAGTCATTTGTTTCAATCATTCACCGAGTCGTACCTTAAACCTCCGTGAAGCCTCTGTGATTGTTATTATTTTGAATAAGTCTGTAACCAATTTTTTTCTAGTTTCATAGTGTCCATTAACCATAAAACGTACATTATGTGTTTTAATTGATCTATTGTTATAGAGAATCTTCCTAATTTAATTCTTCTACTAAGTAAAATGAAGTCATTCAATATCCATTGTTTACTCGTAGTAACACAGAATCCCCATTTAACCACGTTTATAAATAGTTATATATAATATAATATGATCCTCGGTCGTTATACTTTTAGCCTAATTCCCTTCATGTTGCCAAAATATATGAATTTTATCGATTTTCATATTACCATGTCTTTTATCTGTCGTTATGAGAAAAATTAACAAAAATCTTTGTTTGATATCTTGGATGGGAGGATCTGATCTGGTCAGGAATTCGAGATATGTTGAATGTGTATAAATATTTCATGTAATAATGTTCCCAACTTAAAACCCAAAAAATTAGAGCATGCTGTTGAATTGAAATCATTTAAAAATAACTCGACAATAAAATCGCCTTAAAGAATGTAACATCTGAACAAAATATCTCCACTGTGTTCAAATTCAAACAATACATACTACACTGATAAAATCAGATTTAGATATTGCCGCCAACATGCCAAGGCCAAAAGTTATCGTTAAACATCATTTACTCCTAACTTCTTCATTCGTGTTTGATTACATGTGTGGTGACTGTGTTTACTGTAAATATATTCATCGCTGCTGGGCCAGGAAACTAGAGAAATAGCTTATCCTGCTACCATGGTTTAACCCCAGGGCATAAGAAATTACCAAACAGAAAAAAAGTAGCGAGAATGTTTAAACCATTTCTAATCCATAATATCAAAAGCGGAATGATTATGTTTAAAGATACCAAAACTCCGTGAAAACTCATGCTTTATATAGCATTCATTGCAATATAATATTGATACAGGGAGTGTTCGCTGCTGTCAGTGGTTCTGACGAGTAGGTATATTCCTGTTGATTAAAACCAATGATAACACATATCGATACATGTTTCTGGTTCCAGTGTAGTAACTAGGCACACTGATAATGTGATAGAGTCAATATTTATCGGTCGAAGTAATTTTTTTAAAAAGGGACCACATTTAATTCGTATTTCGTGAAAACTCTCTAGCGACATTAATGATTTTGCAAACTGACTTTGTCAACAAAGATGTTAGCCTAAGTAGTATTAACCAGATATCAGATATATTTGATGGTAGGAGCAGATTTAATGTAAGTCTACAGTTTTCCAGCCACAGCAGCATTTTGTACCGTGTATCGATAATTCTGCTTCTTCTTGGGAATTCAAATTTTATCGTCACTGACAATAACGCTTACCAGTAATGGCAACCTTACGCAATAAACGGAAGCATATATTTCTGTGAATGACATAACATCGTATAGAGTTTGTATGTGGTGTTACAGACTGACAAACCGGGGAACAGTTTCATAGTAAACAATGTGATCTTGACTTTCTATCAAAACACGTTATGCAGTCATTATTGAATTAATGCGCCACACGAACAATAAAATGGAGGATGAAGCAGACACAAAAATATGAATTCTCTTTTTTATCAATAAAACATGAAAACCATTATTTTATGACTGGTTTGATTTACGACAGCTGACCACCTAACTGAAGTACAACCTGTATTGTCCTGTGTGAGATTGCGCGTGATGCACATGAATCTTACTGAGGCCATAATAAATACATAGAGCACTTTGTTTACTGAATTCATATTTTAAATTGGTTTACGAGTTCTATACACACAAGATGGCTTGATTCGTTTTACTGTCGCTCGTTGTAGTTAAACGTTACCAGCATATGCACTTTTGGTTTAAAATTGTTCCCTAATGACCCATAAAATCTATCAACTCCGTGGCCTAAAGAACTATCATCACCATCGGCATGCTATGTTCTAACTCATCAACTACGTAAACATTTACAATATCGTTCAAGTTCAAAGAAATCTTCTAAACTTGGCAAGTTGCCGAAATCGTGAAAAGTTAAAGGCAAATTCAATTTTGATTACGTAAAATCTTTTCCACAGATCCAAAATCTAAGATTTAATGTAATCATATTTAGGTTGAGGATTTTTTTTTTATTTTGAATGTAGCCTGTAAAAAACACTCATTAGTTATGCAAGGCATGCTAGCTATCATCCTTACGTTAAATTTGTAGGCAGCTCCGTGTGTATATTGAAAATCATGTTTCTAACATCTGTTAACACCACCTTAATCATGTATACCATAATAAAAAAGATTCTATCAACAGTAATATCTGTTAGAATTCCATAATTTTTCTTACTTATTTGAATCTTATAAGACGGAAGGTACATTCAAATGCAATACAAACAAATATAGTGGGTTTTTTTTCAATTTATCATACGTGTGCTCAACAAATGGAATCTGGGGGGTCGGGTGTTGCAGTGGTAACGCACTCGCCTTGCATCTAGCCGTCCGGGGGTTCGATTCCCGAAATGGATGTGAGAAGGTAAGGGTCACCTGCCCGACCACGTGGGTTTTCACCGGGTAGTCCGGTTTCCTCCCACACTAAGACCCCTCGCGCGCATCCATCCGAGCCAACAAGAGTGATCAATATAAAAGTTGGAAAAGACTTACTTCGAAATTGTTGTAAAATAAATAAAGATTATTTATTTAAATGGGATCTACTTTCATGTAGAATATAAACAGTACATATTGTTTACATTTTGGTTTTTACAGGAGTAGACGTGTGTGATAAGGTATCGACAGCAAACACAGGCCAATGATATATAATGAAGCAAGCTCCATTTTCTTTGCAATATCGCCATTATGATGATATAAGCTTCACAACAACTAAGGAGACGAGAGAAATCGAATATGTACATAGACAAAGGAGACACTCCAGAGATCAACTTATCTTGATATACAAGTTTATAACTTCCGGTTTCGCATGCGTGAATGTTCTGTGCGTGTAGGTTTCCTTTTGGGAAAAGCGGGATATCTGTCTGTGACCGGAAGTGTGGATATTTTTGCCATTAGAGTAAAACCCCATTGGACATATCGACTTACAGAAAGTTGGTACATTTGAAAAATAGCAACAGTGAAATCGTCATACTTATTGGTGGAAGAAACCGTAGAAATACCTGAAGGCAGCTCGTCACAATGAACTGTAGGATAAATACACGTAATATTATCACACACTGGCACCAGAAATAGAACATAGATCCTTCATACACATATGAAAAAAATAGAATGGGCTAACTTTTAAAAAAAAGTTTGAGTCAAAGAAGAAATTGCAGAAAGGGAAAACCCAAGAGACTAATATACAAGAAAAATAGATTCCGGGACATCGAAACTTTGTTTTACAGAAAGGACAAACAACGACATCTAACACAGCGGCATCGATGATCTTCGCAGTGAAATACATCGATAATTATAAACTTGAAACACCACGGCAAATAAGATAGGAGAATTGAGAGCCGACGTGCACCTCCCATAATTATCACTTTATTGCGTAACATATCGACGGTGTCTCGCTCCAGACACCTCGGTGCTTGTCATGAAACATAATGTAGAGAGAGGGATTCATAATGCATAATGTAATCACATTGCAGCCCCAGCATTTTATTTCTTAACGTACCGACAGTGGCTCGCCACAAACACCTCAATACGTGGTTATGAAACAAGTTAGTCATGCAATGTCTCCGTGAATACTGCTAGCCATTTTTCATAGTGCTAACCTATGAATGGAATATTCAATTGAGCAATTATTGGCGAGCAGATACGTCATTGAGTTTTTCAATTGTCATCATAAGTTGTGATACACTTTGATATTACCGTCCTATGAATCAAATCGTCTCGATACCATTCTTACACAGTATCGTCAAATCAGAGTCAGAGTCTTATAGTATTATTGTTTACTCGTGAAATGGAATCAAAGGTAATTTTATAAAGAGTTTAAAGAACATCAAAGAGCTTCAGACTAATATAGAACATCCCTTTTTAAATGTTTTATTTTTCTAATCAGCGGACTATCATACCCAATTCTAAACTAAAGGAACGCCTTTGTCCTCTTGTAGGTTAATGACGCTACATATATGACAATACTGAAACCTGTTTCTTAAATATCAGAATTTCCGTGCTAAATGAAGACAAATGACAGTTAAACACATGGTTTCTAGAGAAGCAAGTTGATGAGATTATGAGGAAGTTTTACTGTCGTCATAACGATTCCTTTGAGATATATACTATTGCATTGTGCAATATGAATTTCGGATGTCGTCGATGAAGTAGAAGACGCCTACTCTTTCGGAACATCTGGATTTCCCTTTGTATTTTTTTCAGGATTCTTTAAATTTTTCTTAAGTTCATATTTGGACCCAGTTTTATTGTTTTTGAGTTTGAAGTTTTCATTATTTTTTGTTTGTTTGTTTTTTTTTTTTTTACTTACCTAACATGATAAGAAGACTTTTTTGTATGGTGTTGGAACTATTTATATATGGCGAATCATCTAAATTTTGCACATCCGGACATTCATCGGCGACGAATCCGGCTGGGACCTTGTATACACCGAAGAAGAGTTCGTCGTCATTGGTATATTGTATGACGTCAAACTTGATGTTGATTGTGTTGACGCTGCAGCACCAGCGAGGTTTTATATGTGTATGACAAGACAGCGTCTGGAAAAAATAAACAAAACATTCAGGTTTTTGTCCAGAAATGACCAAATGATGACTGGAAAATGTCAGCTTACAGTTTTTGCTATCTATTGCCAAATACTCAACGTAAAATTTCTGGTAAAAACAAAATGAGCGGTGGCATGCTTGCATCCGATAAACAGAGAGTTACACCTTGTGGTTTTCGTATAAAGCTTTCAGAATAATAAAATACATTTTAAAATAACTTTCAATGATATTCTAAAATGAGTCATACAGGATTACCATTATGGTAATCCCTTTATTAAGACGAAAAGACGCTCTTCGTAGGATTATAATTGTCTAGAAAACATGTGACAGCTTGATACATTGCTGTCTGACATCTTTATAGGGATAGTTTTCACTCTGTTATTTTCATCTATCATTGTAGAGTCTAACAGTTTCGGATTAATTCTTTTATATGGTACAAATGTGATGGTTAAACAGACAATCATTGATTCACGTCATCTCAGAAACTATAAGCGAGATCAAAGGGAACACCGGAAATTGCTATTTCTCGAAGCGGAAATAATTTGACTGATTTGTCCCTCGGTCACCGTATAGTCGTTTGTCATGTAAGATATCTGTTGTATACTGACTGTCGTATAAATAACTGTTTATCGCTGTTTTGAAAGGGATGCTTGATTAAAATGTCACGGCTAAAGTTTTTCAGGAAATCCTTTAAAGCTTAAGTCTTATTTAGAATAGTATAACAATGTTTGACGGCTCATTTTCGGATAACCTTTATTCACGTCATATCAAACGTGTCCTAAGCCTATGTCAAAGAACAGGAAAGAAAAAAAGAAAAACCTGATGTTACATGAGATATCTGAGGGTTTTTTCCCGGAAACTCGAAAAAAAACCCTTGGAATTGTGGATCATTGGACTGTGGTGTTACTATAAAAAGTGTCCCATAACTTTTCATTTGGAAGTGGCAATTTCTCAATGTTCTATATCAGATCAGTTGAATAATTGTTGAAATCTTTCATTATGTCAACGCTACAATTTAAAACACATCATGCTGTTGAAACAACACGCTTATCCGGTAAGTGTTTACCTTAAAGGGTCGACCTGACGTTGTAAGTCCGTAGAATCGGATACGTGTAGAACAGTCGTGGATAGCGATGTTCAGAATCTCTATACACGTTAAAGAATCGCTATATATGTCTGGTTTCTTATGAAATCCAACTGTGCAACTATTAGACCACATTCCCTTCCATTTGAAGTATTTCAGCTGTGGGCCGACCATATTTACTCTATTCGCTTTACATGCAGGAATATCAGTCAGCACTGAAAAAAACACATAAACAAAACTCGTGACAAATCATTTACCCGAATTATAGAGTAATGCTCTGGTGCAGTTATGGTAGATCCAGAAATTTTATCTACAACAATTTGTGGTGGCTAGATATTGGTTCTTGACTTAAAGAGTTCAGCACTTTCCAGATAGGATAGTGGAGAATTTGTCCAAAATAGTTTTTTCCCGTCACTTTCTCAACAAAAAATGCATAGTGCTTGTTCATGTAGAAAGAATCTTTTCTGAAGCACGTCTATCAGAAATTCTAGGAAAAAACATCAACATCATCAACTTATGTTTTCATTTCCTGTGTAGACACTATTTATATCCGGTTAGGAATAACTCTTTACCCGTAAAACATGCTCCGAATCCTGATAATGTTAATGGTACCTGATATGGAGGTTATGACGTCACAAACATACCTACTGCGTTGAAAGGGTCTGTGGTTGTAGTGGTTGTCGTCGTTGTAGTGGGCGGAAGGCAGTCGTCGTAAACACTTCCGGCGGTTATCGCAAAAACCCGGAAGAAGAAGTTACTGGTCGTCGATCGATTATTGTTAAGTTTGATTTGTATTGCATCAGTATTACAGCACCATCTTGGTGTATTAGGTTTTGTATGACAGTTAAACGTCTGTAAAATGTAAATATTTATTTTTAAAACAAACGGAATCAGTATTAGAACAACGGAATAAAAAATGGAAACATACAGAATCTGTATTCGTACTCGCTTTTGCACACGTTTACACACAAAGACCAATACATGCGTATGTGACGTTACTCCACGTAACATCAAGGTATCATCATTGAATTAATTGTATTCAGATGATAGCCTGATAGTTGTCGTTAGTATCAGGTATAGGTGTGTTGTGACAACTTTTTTCAAAAAAGCATAAATGAAGCAGACCAATATTCAAAAAGTAAATTCTTCAAAATTTTACATTAAAAATGGGTCAGATATGGTCTGACATAACATTCCTAGATGTTTGGTTAAGACAAGCAAAGTTAATGGAATTAAGAAAAGTCTTGATTAAGCAAAAATACAAAACAGACATTATTCTAAAAATTAGAAAACGATACACGAAACATCCCAACCATTAAGCATTGACCACGCAAAAGATAAATCCCATCTGACTTTTGCCTCAATTGGACTCAAAATTCCAGTTTTTTCTAGAAAAGTGGCCTTTCATTTGTAGCCTGTTCAATTTTGCATGTTTACATCAAGGAATTGTTCTCTTGGGATAACTAATAGCTTCGAGATCAATGGTACATAGAATATCAGTTACATACGTCTTCTTTCTTCCCGGCCTCTCTTTGCCAGAGGAGGTTTAAACGAAATTCACACTCTCCAAAGTCAATACCCTTTCGAGAAAATAACTTGCATACTTAGACGTTTTGTTGCCATCAGCATTTCAGACCATCATGCTACTTCGTGTCTCGCCATGTCACACGACCAGAACTAGATTAATTTGGTCTACAAATTGAGACTTATCCAATCTGATAGAACATAGCTTAAAAACGCAATCATGAACCGGATATACGTCAGCAAAGCGGAAATACGTGTATAGACCCAATATCTGTAGTGCTTTTCAAAAATCCCGACCCTGAAATACATTTCCTGATATAAAGCATTCAATTCAATTAGGATCAGACACATCCATTGCAACTCTGACGATTTACTCACCCTGGCAGGAGCTGTGAGGTTAATTCCATAGTACTCTACATCCGCAGAACAGTCAACAAATTCAAAACTAAGTATTTCCACACAAATGTAATGATTCCTTACTGATGTCCTTTTGCTGAAGTCCGTAATGCAATTCCGGATAGTTGATCCATTCCATCGGTAGTACGTTGGTTTTTCGTTGGCGAAATTAGATCTGTAGGCTGCACACGATTGACTGTCGTGTAATATAGCTGTAACAGAACATTATTTGAATAATACATAAAATGATAAATATTCATATCAGGAAATTTTGGTAAAGATTAAATGATAAGAAAACAGAATAAATAATTCGTTTTTATTCAAATCATTCCCGGAGATTTTAATACAGCCATAAAATATGAACTGACGATACGCCATTCCATAATATCACTGATCTGATCCACATACAGATATCCAGTTAAATATCATTGTATCACGATACATGTAATGCATGTGTTTAATATGTCTTTGTTAAACATTATCTTGATATATTTATTACTATATGGCCGTTTATAAGATGAAATATCACCAGTCATTTGCGTATTATCAGCTTATGAACTGCCATTGGTGTAGGAATATTGCAAAAAAAAAAAAAAAAAAAAAAAACAAAATGTAAAAATATTGAGTTTGCTAAATTTGAGGACTATATGAAAACTGAAAATAGTGAAAATATCCATTGAACTGCTGTTCATATTGAATACCAGCTGATTAAAGGAAAATTCAACATGCAATAATCCTGTTGTCATTCATATGCCAATAAATGCCAACGAATGCAATGTAATGCTTAAGTATGTGTGCACTGCATAATACATCATGATAACTGGCAAGCAATGTTACAGAATAGTTAGTGATATAAATCTATATCAATAATAAGTCAAAGTACGGGAAATATAATTTTATTTCAAAATTGATTACACTGAAACGAATCTAAGAACATTAAGCTGATTGTCATATATGTTTCCCAATAATATTCACTTAAAGGTAAATAGTTTCAATTTATAAATTGAAAACCGTTACTAGCAACCAATATCGTAATATTGTGTGTTTAAATACGATCTCTCTTGTGACTTACAGAACACGCGCTGTCAAAATTTGGATGGAAATATATTGTCTCAAACACAAATGAAATAAAGTCGACGCTCATGAATATATTTTTATGATAGAGCCGCTGATACTTAATATCATGCGGTGGTTTCCTAACGTAATGTCGGAATGAGATTGTCCTTGGGGTAAACACATTTAAGTTAATACTCGAAGTATTCGCTTTAATTCTCAAATGGGACTTTTTTCTGTAAAAAATAAATTAGGGAGGCTTGTTTCCTCAGGGGCGAGGCAATGCTATAAAAAACGAAACAGCAGCGACTCAAGTGTCATTGAACGGGTATGACCTATTTATAAATGACCGTAAGGTGTAAGTATTAGTTGGTCTTTGACTTTCTAGAATAATTTTTATCAAAGTCCCAACTGTTATACTGATATACTGTTACAGTGAATGACACTGCCCTAAGAATGCAATCTAGAAAACTAACCGCGAGTCTCACTTCCATGCTTGACCCATGAATAATCGATCCATAATTACAAATATGATCAGTTAATAAACACAGGAATCCTTTGTCAGAAACAAAATTCATTTGTTTTGTTTAGACGTAACGACGTCGTTAATTATCGGAGGCCAACATCCAATCGATGAGATCCGTCCTATGGGAGACCAATACTGCCAACTCACAGGCACCGCCAACGATAACATTGCTTCATCAAACACGGGCACCGATTTCAATAGTTCCCTTTTTTCAGATGATCAAAGAAAGAATTTGAAAAAAAACCCACACACAACTGAAATATCTCTCACGTGTGTTTAAAAACGCTTCGCTCATGAATCCGTCAAACTTCAGAATGATTGAAATTATTTTTATTTGAATCAACTTTTTTCCCCGCGTCATTGTATGAATCGCAAGCATCAATAGTAAGACACTTTAAGACAGACATAAGTCATCTTACTTCGGTTTCATAAAAAAAACCAAAAAACAAAAAAACAACGCATTCTGTGATATTTCTCACCAAAGAGAAATTGTTCTGCCATAATCTGACCCCAGTTTCACGAATTTTAACTTTAGGAAATCTTAACTATCATAGAAAATGATTACATCAGTTGAGGAAAAACTTAAATCAGAGAAGATCTTCTAAACTTATATAATGTTTTTTTCTGTTGTGAATTTAAAGTTAAAGAAAAATCCTTAAGTTAAGGAAGATTGATAAAACTTGGGCCCAGTTCTTAAGTATTCTTCTCAGTCGTGTTACGACTTACAACACTTTTCAATGTTATATCTGATCAACTAGTCAAATATAAGAACACGTGACTCCATCTAAACTTGTCATTGAAGAGGTGGCATGACTCCTTAACAATACATGTATTAGTATTTTCTATCCTTTCGCGTAACACGTTATGTTTTTACCCGTGTAAAGTTCACACCTCACACGACAAAGGTGTACAGAAATAACACATGTGGGAGTCCTCTTCCAAGAGAAATTTTGGTCGCTACTGTCAACTATTTATTTTGTCGAACATCTTTTTCGATTGTATAACGTTCAAGTAAGTGTACGTCTGTGTTTTTTTTTCTTTCGTGAGATCCCTATAAATTTTGAACAAAATCACAAAGTTCAAGTGTTACTACATCAAACACCTTCTAAAGATCTTTTAGACCAAGAGTAATTCCGTTTTATATAACGGACACAGTGATACGGGTTTCGTTGGAATTATCCACGTCTAGAGATCATATCTGTATATTAATTATATCTGGTCGGTAGTTTGATAGTATGAAGGCCTTTTATGTTGTCCGCTTAACATTATAGGTTTTTCGAAATCGTAGCAGTCAAATGTATTAAGCGCTTCGTCTAAAGATCTATGAAGCCTAGTTCAATTATAAATTCCATGCACTTTGCTAAGATTGGTTGCTCAAATACGTTCAGCAGAGGTTTCCCATGTTAAAATGATAATGAAATATGAAAGGAGTTATGATATCGTGGTCACAGATATTTAATATGAAGCATATGCATATTGTTTAATTTTGTTTATCTACGAATAAAGATCAGCTGCTAAAATCGACCATGTCTATGTCTTCCTGTCAAAAACAACACAGACATGTGAGCCCAATCTTAATTCAAACTCAAGATCGATGAAACGAAACAAAGCATAGACAAAAGAAAACAAATAGACTCGTTGAAGAAGTGCTCCAAAGTGTAAACGCATCTACTTCACCGAAGACAACCGCCAAGTAAATCTAGGCCAACAAGCCATGTCTAGGTGTTAAATTCGCTTGTCATACCAACGTGCACAGAATTCATTCCCATAACTCACTTGTAATTTTAAAAAAATATTTAAAAAATCAAATGCAATGTTTATCGTTATCTGATATTTAAATTCAAATTGGACAACACGACAGAGAAGACGACTGTTGGTACTTAAGATGAAAAAGTCACACACATATATGAAAAAAAATATATGAAGGTTATTTTTCAAAATTAATATCCCTGTATACAGGCTTATTTTGAAGGTACGTTTTCTACTGCCGAGACAAACATCCACGTCATGAAGACTTGGCTAGATGTATCAACATATTTGTCTTTTGATATTATGTCATATCCATGTGCCATAATTCAACAGCCCAGAATAATTTGACTTTTTTTTTTTCATATTTTTCAGTACACCCCTGTTCACAATAACAGCAATCGTCGTCAATCATATTTGTGAAAAGAAAAAGAGCCACGTCATAAATTTTCTTATGAAGAACAACACGTATTCAACACTATCACCCATTTGAAATATATACCCATACATTGCAGTCCGCAATTTGAAACAGATACATGTAAGCTGTATTTATCTGTAGATGTAAAGACATTTCAGTGTGATATCACTTGAAACTGACCATTGATTACTTCCCTCTCTCCCCCGTGGATACCGTCTTCATAGATTTTTTCTAGTTGCAACGCTCTTAATCACATTCCACCGTAATGGAATTTTATCAAAGCATTCACGACATAGAACGTAAAAGCCAAGTGTGCAAGTGCTGAAAGCAGATATGTAAACCCAACTCCAGAGCAGTCTAGAATAGCTCAGTATCTATCGTAAAAACGTACTCTAATATCATCACAACATTAGTGATTCTGGAGCTGTACACAAACTTTAGGCTGAATAAAGGAAGTATTTGAACTAATCATTTGGCTCCACTTCATCTAATTCTGGATTTGTGTTGAAATAGTCTATCCTCGTTATGTCCTTTGTACAATCTTAGATGATGAACCACAATTTGTCTATTCATTCACTATATTACATAACATTGGCTTTAACAACACTGCTACAACAATTAAAACTGTATTGGTATTATGAAAAGATTCTTAAAATTTTCTGCAAAAAACATAATGTAAATGAATTGATACAATATATGAATTGGCGATATTCTCACTCTCTAATATATTTTTTCATCGATGACGCAACAATGCGTATGACGCCACGAAAAGGTCACGTCTCCATGGAAACCTTTTGCCAAACAACCCCACTAAGTTATATCATACAAGTATATAACAAGTTGTAATAACAAAAATATATGTAAAATATGTCATCATACTTGCAAGTCAGAAATACCTCGTAGTATCTACTCAAATCGAAATGTTTTTGAAATATCAAGATGAAACTATTGTATCTTATATCTTTCAATTCATAGAGCAAATTGAAACATCTCTAACCGAACAAATAGTTTAAGGAAAAATTGGGAGAGAAATTCTCAATTGTAAAGTATAACTTACCTTCACCCGCTACAATAATTGGTCTGATACTCAACAGTATATAAGATACAATCACATACAGAAACTGGACACTGTCCATCATTGGCAGAATACCATCTCGTGAGGCACGTCCTTTCGCCGAACCACCCATCCTTGTGTAAGAAATTCACATTTCGTGTTCAAGTAAGCCACTCGACCGCCAGCGCGATGCATGCCATCACAACGGTCCGATACACGTCGAGGCAGCTTCATCACGTGACCCGAGACATAAAGAAATTTCCCCGTCCCAACCGTTGTCCCTATTTTACTCATTCAAATCATTACAATAAAATTAAGATGGTAGAAACATCCCCCACGATTCAATATACTGATGTGACATACATCTCTAACATAAAATATGATCACTGGCGCAAATACCAAGTCATGTTTTCAATGGAAGTTTTTTGGAAAAATGGATTTTCTGCAATCCCTGGCGGGACACTTTGTCTAAGACCCTAGCCTCGTTATATTGTATACGTTAGCTAATTCAATCTAATATCACACTTTATTAGTTTGTATGCATTTTCATCTATCATATTGTGATTAATGAAATAAGGAACTCCCCGCAGTGAGCTATCTGCATTAGCAAGGGCCTCTCCAGTCTCTTGTGTCCCGTGTTATCTCGTGAAAGTATTGACGAAACCCGACATAATGTGTGCTAATGTTCGCTCCATAGTACTCTTGAGGGCGCCATTGATTATGATGACCCGCTCGTTACGTCACTTCCTTTCTTGTTTCATCAACATATGGTCAGGTTATCCTTGAGTGTGAGCAATTGGTCTCTTAATGATCGCGTTTATTTCGTCGATACTTAGCAAGTGTTTCCTTCTAAATTAACCATCTCAGTGAGAGGTTCTACGAACCAAACCGAGGTTGGAACGAACTTTTCTTTCACAACAGCAGTAAAATGGATTCCCGACTTTTGTAGAAATGATCTTACATTTTTATACCTCAGAGTGTGCTTTCATCTACACCACGGTTTACTTATAGATTGAAACCAAACAGTATCAATAACAGGGTATCGTAATAATATGATTCAGAACTTTTATCTCCCCGTTTCCAAATTTGACGTTATATGTAACATGAAGCATCGCTGCGGATTCTTTAACAGACATTAGTGACATAAGAGGGATATTTGATGAATATTACACATATTATGTTATCAACTTTCCATTTCTGGTAGTAACATTCAAGCTTCTCCGTTAAAGCAGATATACGAGAAACAATATCCGTTTTGTAATTACGTAAACTGGACATACATTTTATTTCATAAATTAGACGTATAAATTTTCTTTTATCTAAAACTTGGAAGATGTGGTACCCTAAAGAGGGTTTACTATATATCATTAGTCTATTTATAGTTGTTTTTTTTTTCGGTCGACGATAACTAATCGTTGGAAGACTATTTTCCGAAAAGGCTAACACTACATCTGTTTTAGAAATGTAGGTATTACGTGTTTGAGCTTTAAGAAATACTATGTATATGATGCACATTTATTTCGCATACAGATGTAAATATGTGATATTCTTAACAATTCGGAGATGAGCGTAACAACTTGAAAAAGCCAAGTTATCATTAAACTGTGGAGTGTTATGTAAAGATACATCCATCATACATGTAGGTCTACTATCTGATAAAATATTGATTGTTTGGACTCTTTTTAACAAAGCGTTATTGTAACGAATATTGTGATCATTGAATGTTTGTAATGTTTCCAATTGGTCAGATTTAATAAGAATAATCTAAGGTAAATTCTGATGCAAGCGGTGATTTTACCAATACCGACGTGTTAACTATGGCGGTGTACAGTACTGATGGTACCAATACCGACGTGTTAACTATGGCGGTGTGTACAGTGGTACCAATACCGACGTGTTAACTATGGCGGTGTGTACAGTGGTACCAATACCGACGTGTTAACTATGGCGGTGTACAGTACTGATGGTACCAATACCGACGTGTTAACTATGGCGGTGTGTACAGTGGTACCAATACCGACGTGTTAACTATGGCGGTGTACAGTACTGATGGTACCAATACCGACGTGTTAACTATGGCGGTGTGTACAGTGGTACCAATACCGACATGTTAACTATGGCGGTGTGTACAGTGGTACCAATATCGACGTGTTAACTAAGGCGGTGTGTACTGTATGATGGTACCAATACCGACGTGTTAACTATGGCGGTGTGTACAGTACTGATGGTACCAATACCGACTTGATAACTAAGGCGGTGTGTACAGTGGTACCAATACCGACGTGTTGACTATGGCGGTGTGCACAATGGTACCAATACCGACGTGTTAACTATGGCGGTGTGTACAGTGGTACCAATACCGACGTGTTGACTATGGCGGTGTGCACAATGGTACCAATACCGACGTGTTAACTATGGCGGTGTGTACAGTGGTACCAATACCGACGTGTTAACTATGGCGGTGTACAGTGGTACCAATACCGACGTGTTAACTATGGCGGTGTGTACAGTGGTACCAATACCGACGTGTTAACTATGGCGGTGTGTACAGTGGTACCAATACCGACATGTTAACTATGGCGGTGTGTACAGTGGTACCAATACCGACGTGTTAACTAAGGCGGTGTGTACTGTATGATGGTACCAATACCGACGTGTTAACTATGGCGGTGTGTACAGTACTGATGGTACCAATACCGACTTGTTAACTATGGCGGTGTGTACAGTGGTACCAATACCGACGTGTTAACTATGGCGGTGTGTACAGTGGTACCAATACCGACGTGTTAACTATGGCGGTGTGTACAGTGGTACCAATACCAACGTATTAACTATGGCGGTGTGTACAGTGGTACCAATACCGACGTGTTAACTATGGCGGTGTGTACAGTACTGATGGTACCAATACCGACGTGTTAACTATGGCGGTGTGTACAGTGGTACCAATACCGACGTGTTAACTATGGCGGTGTGTACAGTGGTACCAATACCGACGTGTTAACTATGGCGGTGTGTACAGTACTGATGGTACCAATACCGACGTGTTAACTATGGCGGTGTGTACAGTGGTACCAATATCGACGTGTTAACTAAGGCGGTGTGTACTGTATGATGGTACCAATACCGACGTGTTAACTATGGCGGTGTGTACAGTACTGATGGTACCAATACCGACTTGATAACTAAGGCGGTGTGTACAGTGGTACCAATACCGACGTGTTAACTATGGCGGTGTGTACAGTGGTACCAATACCGACGTGTTAACTATGGCGGTGTGTACAGTGGTACCAATACCGACGTGTTAACTATGGCGGTGTATACAGTGGTACCAATACCGACGTGTTAACTATGGCGGTGTGTACAGTGGTACCAATACCGACGTGTTAACTATGGCGGTGTGTACAGTGGTACCAATACCGACGTGTTAACTATGAATACACAAACAAAAAGAGCAAGACAGCCTAGAAAGGAAAATATCAAGATACTTAGTGTTGCAATGGTGCAGTAGATTTATTTCTTCGATGTCGCTTAGAAGAAAACTTCCGATTTTACTTTGGGGCCCACTTTTATTTGACTTATACGAACATGCCATGGACCTTGTTCTTGGGCTCTCCGATGTCCGAGGGCATCGGAAATCTACCTCCAATTTACAAGAAGTGTTCTTCTATCAGTCGACTCTTGTAGCACGTAGTATTACTGCAGTCATATTCATATTCCTCTCAGTTGCACGGATCTCGATCAATCAATGAATATCGTGCTATTTAAAGATATCATCAAAATATCAGAAGGTAAGTTGTAGGACTTGTTAACGTCTTTGTTAAACGTTTGATCAGCTGTTTGATTGTTTGATGATGATGATGATGATGATGATGATGATGATGATGATGATGACGTTGATGATGATGTTGATGATGATGATGATGATGATGATGATGATGATGATGATGATGATGATGACGTTGATGATGATGTTGATGATGATGTTGATGATGACGATGACGTTGATGATGATGTTGATGATGATGATGACGTTGATGATGATGTTGATGATGACGATGATGATGATGATGATGATGATGATGATAATGATGATGATGTTGTGATTGATATAAAGATGATGATGACGTTGATTATGATGTTGATGTTATTATGATGAAGATGATTATGATGATGATGATAGAATGATGTAGATGTAGTTCGATGATGATGATGATGATGATGATGATGATGATGACGTTGATGATGACGTTGATGATGATGATGATGATGATGACGTTGATGATGATGTTGATGATGATGATGATGATGATGATGATGATGATAATGATGATGATGTTGTGATTGATATAAAGATGATGATGACGTTGATTATGATGTTGATGTTATTATGATGAAGATGATTATGATGATGATGATAGAATGATGTAGATGTAGTTCGATGATGATGATGATGATGATGATGATGATGATGATGATGATGATGATGATGATATAATGATGTAGATGTAGTTGGGTTGTCGGTACGTCTCATCATCAGGTATTAATGTAAATAATTGTAACAATGAAAAAATATAACTGACTGTTTGTGTCTAAATAGTGGATATGTTGTTGTTCCAGTGTTTGTACTATGTATTATATATATTTTTATGTGTGTTATCATATGTTACCGATACGTTGTATAACTTAAGGAAATAAACTTGATTGATTGATTAATCCAGTATTGTGTGACAGCGAAAAATGTCAGCTACGAAAGGGAAACAGTTATTTCCCACGGGTACGCTAATAGTCGGTTTGAAAAACGTATCTCGGACCTTAAAGAAAACGTTGTCAAACAGGTAGACTAGCATTCTTGCGATTTCTTCATCGGTGAATTTCGTTTCGACATGAGACGTACTTTTCGCGAAATACGCTCCATCATAGCACACAACCATGTATTTGTATCCCCTTTCACCTTTTTCATCACCAGAGAATGAAGGCATTCTTTAGCATAAGATGTGATGTTGTGATAGTGAACAGAGTGGAAAATGAAATGTTCCAATAGAAAAGGTGTTTTTCAGCGAAAGATATTCAAATTGGATAAAAAGCTCTGTAGAACTCATCAAAAAAATCACATTAATTCATGTCTGTTGCACG